CGACTCCCTCGCCGACCATATCACCGACTCCCGCGCCAACCAGCTCACCGACTCCCGCACCGACCAGGTCCCCGACTCCCGCACCGGCCAGCTCGCCGACTCCCTCGCCGACCATTTCACCGATTCCCGCACCGACCAGCTCACCGACTCCCGCACCGACCAAGCCACCGACTCGTGCACCGACCAGCTCGCCGATTCCATCGTCGACCATGTCACCGACTCCCGCGCCGGCCAGCCCACCGACTCCCGCACCGACCAGGCCCGATCAGCTCGCCGACTCCCGCGCCGGCCAGCTCACCGACTCCCGCACCGACCCGGTCGCCGACCGCTGCACCGACCAGCTCGCCGACTCCCTCGCCGACCATATCACCGACTCCCGCCCCGACCAGGTCACCGACTCGTGCACCGACCAGCTCGCCGACTCCCTCGCCGACCATATCACCGACTCCCGCACCGACCAGGTCACCGAGTCCCGCACCGACCAGATCACCGACTCCCTTGTCGACCATATCACCGACTCCCGCACTGACCAGCTCACCGACTCCCGCACCGACCAGATCACCGACTCCCGCACTGACCAGGTCACCGGTTCGTGCACCGACCAGCTCGCCGACTCCCTCACCGGCCATGTCACCGACCCCCGCGCCGGCCAGCTCACCGACTCCCTCACCGACCAGGTCACCGACTCCAGCGCCCGTCAGCTCGCCGAGTCCCGCGCCGGCCAGCTCACCGTCTCCCGCACCGACCAGGTCACCGACTCCCACACCGATGCACAGCTGTCGCAGCCAGATCCGGCAGTCTCCTCAGACTCTTGGTCAAGCTCCGACCCCGACTCCAGAATTCAGTGCAAGACCCAGGTGCAGGACGTTGCGCAGCTGGGTTCCTGGACATACCCGTGCCTCGGTACCCGTTTCCAGACGCCGTTCGGCCTCCGCCCACCCCGGGAACGGCTACCAAGAATCCGGCTACATCTACTTCGGATTTACCTGTCCTACTATTCGTGAGCCCCCGCATCGCCTTTGCCCTCCGCTGCCCTCTCTTCCTCTTCTTCTCTTCCTCCTCCTCCTCCTCCTCCTCCGCCTCCTCCTTTTTCCTCCTCTTCCTCCTCCGAGCCCGGAGCGGTCGTGCTCTTCCGTTGCACTCGGCAGTGCGAGGATTTCTCATTGGGGGCGTATGTGTTCATAAAAGGCTGGACGCCGTCGGGGATGCACATACTCCTTGTAGATGGACTTCAGGCCGGTGCTTTAAGTGTTCGCCTTGGCCAGCCCCGCGGTACAAATTTAAGTGGTTCGCCTTGTCGTTTTGCAGGCTGTTTCAATGGAGGTGCATGAGCCGAGCGTCCGGAGGGATACGTTGGCAGCATATTGCACGGTCGGCAACGCTGTATGAAAACATGACAGACGAGGCATTGCAGATCTCCGCAAAGCAGAAGTGGAATGCCTCACGATTGTGGGAGGAAAGAGGAAAACAACAACAAAAAATGTTGGGTTCGCTCGCGCTTCGAAACGTCAAAGGCGAAGCCGGCGAACTCTTCGCTGGCGCCCCAGAGGCGATCTCCCAGCTGCGCCGCCCAGGCGGTCCTCCTCCTCCTCCTCCTCCTCCTCCTCCTGCTCCTCCTCCTCCTCCACCCTTCCTTTTCCTCATGAATAACTCCCCCCTGTTGCACCCCGAGGCCAGTCGGAAGGGCGGGCCGGGTGTTTCGCCTGAGACTTCCTTACCTTTTTCGAGCATGAAGATTAGACACTGGCAACAGCTTCACAGATGGAGGGCGAGCCCGTTTTCAAAATGCGGCTCTCGCCGTAGCGCCGCGCACATTCGTTTCAAACATTTGCAAGAGCTTCACGGATTGAGGACGAGTATTTTTCAAGATGTGGCTCTCCTTTCAGCGCCGCGCATATTCTTTTTTCCGAAAATTCTTCACGCTTCGCGTATCCCCACCAGCCCATCTCAAAACAGCAACTCTAGCGAAGCATGCCGACAGTCGTGTTTTTCAGGCGTGTTTCCGCCTGCCCCCGCATATCTCCCCTGTTCCTCCTTCCTCCCGCCTCCTTGTACATCCTCCTTGTGGTGGGAGCGGGAGAAGGACGAGGCGGAGGAGGAGGGAGAGAAAGCGCTCCTCGTGGTTTGAGTCGTTCGGGCTTCTCGTCCTGGTGTGAGTCGTTCGGGCCCTTCTTCCTGGTGTGAGTCGTTCGGGCTCTTCGTGGTGTGAGTCGTTCGGGCTCTTCGTCCTGGTGTGAGTCGTTCGGGCTTCTCGTGGTGTGAGTTGTTCGGGCCCCTCGTCCTGGTGTGAGTCGTTCGGGCCCCTCCTCCTGCCCGTCCAGAAACGACGCCCAGGCGAGTAGAGGGTCGTCCTGATGGGCTTTTCGGCGTCTTGGGTGCCTCGGGGGGGCCTCTTTGGGCCGTTTGGGATCCTCTTGGGGGCCTCCTGGGGGCCTCTTGGGGCCATCTTGGGGCCTCTTGGTGCCTCCTGGGCGCTTCTTGGGGCCATCTTAGAGAAAATCGATCAAAGAAGAGGGGAGCTTTAATTAGCGCTGCCCCCTCAGAAGGCCAAAATGGGGGCCAAAATCTTAGTAAAATCAATGATTCTGGCTTGACAGAAGAGGGGAACTTTAATTAGCGTTGCCCCCTCAGAAGGCCAAAACGGGGCCAAAACCGTAGTAAAATCAATGATTTTGGCTTCAAAGAAGAGGGGGACATTTTTTCTGCCTCC